TTTGTCCGTTTCCTCCGTATGTCCACTAAAAGCACTATAAAGCTAACATGAAAAGTCATGACAAGTCCTATCTCATGTTATATGTCCTTTAAAGGTTCCCGATTTTATCTGCTTCCTCGATATGTCCACTAAAAGCATTTTAAAGCCAACGTGAAAAGGCATGACAAGTCCTATCCGAGGTCAAGTGCCCTTCAAGAATTTCCGAGTTTGTCCGTTTGCTCCGTATGTCCACTAAAAGCACTATAAAGCTAACCTGAAACGTTGCGCAAAGTCCTATCTCATGTTATATGTCCTTCAAAGGTTCCCGATTTTATGCGTTTCCTCGATATGTCCACTAAAAGCATTATAAAGCCAACTTGAAAAGTCATGACAAGTCCTATCCCAGGTCAAGTGCCCTTCGAGAATTTCCGAGTTTGTCCGTTTCCTCCGTATGTCCACTAAAAGCACTATAAAGCTAACCTGAAAAGTCCTATTTCATGTTTTATGTCCTTCAAAGATTCCCAATTTTATCCGTTTCCTCGATATGTCCACTAAAAGCATTATAAAACCAGCTTGAAAAGTCATGACAAGTCCTATCCCAGGTCAAGTGCCTTTCAAGAGTTTCCGAGTTTGCCCGTTTCCTCCATATGTCCACTAAAGCACTATAATGCTAACCTGAAACGTTGCGCAAAGTCCTTTCTCATATTATATGTCCTTCAAAGATTCCCGATTTTATCCGTTTCCTCGATATGTCCACTAAAAGCATTATAAAGCCAACCTGAAAAGTCATGACAAATCCTATCCCAAGTTAAGTGCCCTTCAAGAGTTTCCGAATTTGTCCGTTTCTTCCATATGTCCACTAAAAGCACTATAAAGCTAACCTGAAAAGTTGCGCAAAGTGCTATCTTATGTTACGTGTCCTTCAAAAGTTCCCGATTTTATCCGTTTCCTCCATGTGTCCACTAAAAATATTATACAGTCAACCTGAAAAGTTATGGCAAGTCCTATCCCAGGTCAAGTGCCCTTTAAGAGTTTCCGATTTTGTCCGTTTCCTCCATATGTCTATTAAAAAGAAATATAAAGCTAAAATCATGACATTTAACATGAGATAGGATCCTGCGCAACTTCTCAGGTTAGGTTTACAGTGCTTTTAGTGGGCATATGGAGGAAACGGACAAAATCGGAAATTCTTGAAGGGCATTTGACCTGGGATAAGACTTGTCATGATTTTAGTTTTATAATTCATTTTAATGGACATATGGAGGAAGCGGACAAAATCGGAAACTCTTGAAGGGCACTTGACCTGGGATAGGATTTGTCATGACTTTTCAGGTTGGCTTTATAATACTTTTACTGGACATATTGAGGAAACGGACAAAATCGGAAACTCTTGAAGGGCACTTGACCTGCCATAATGTAGTCCCTTGATTTATAAACCCCCCCCCCCCCCCCCCCAACAAATCAATCAATTGATAATTAAATAAGGAATCCTTAGCTAGCTACCTCTGGAGCTACTCTGGCAATATTAAAATAAAAGGAATCAAGAAAACCTAACTTTGAAGACATCTGGAATATTAATTACAATAAAAGGGAATGAACCAATTGAAATAGAACTAACTTTTTAAATTTCAATGGAAATCTGAATCCAAAGACCTGCAATTTCAATGGTAAGTAAAGCAAATCAAAAGGCAAAGAAAAGAAATAAAGATTTAAAGCCTCAAATCTCTAGACATTATTTTAGGGGCCCCCACTAAATAATGTCAGAAAGCTGCTTGCTGGACTACCCCCTTTGCTTGAATGATTTTTTTCAATACTTTTGAATAAGGGATTTTATAAAGAAAGTGCGCGCTGACTTTTGGAAACTTTTGGAAAGCTTCAAAACTAAAGAGCTTAGGCAAAGTAAATAAAGAATAGAGGGTGAGTAAAGCAAATCAAAAGGCAAAGAAAAGGAATAACGATTTAAAGCCTCAAATCTCTAGACATTATTCTAGGGGTCCCCCCTAAATAATGTCAGAAAGCTGCTTTCTGGACTACCCCCTTTGCTTGAATGATTTTTTGTTTTTCAATACTTTTGAATAAGGGATTTTAGAAAGAACGCTTTGACTTTTGGAAACTTTTGGAAAGCTTCAAAACTAAAGAGCTCAGGAAAAATTAATAAGGAATAGAGGGTGAGTAAAGCAAATCAAAAGGGACAAACTTAACTATAACATCAAAACATATTCCACTACAACTACCCCTCCCAAAAAAAAACATTATTCTAGGGGCCTTTATAAATCAGTGCAGGGAAAAAAAGACACTATTCTAGGGGGGTTTATAAATCTGAGGGCCACATGAGGACTTGTCATGACTTTTCAAATTGACTTTATAATGCTTGACCACATATTTCACTGCATTTTGGCCTTTGCGGCCACATGAGATATGAAAAAAAATAGGGGTCAGTGAACACACCTTTTTCTATCTCATGTGTGCCAGGATTCTTGATGACGACCTAGTCCTATCTCACGTGTCCTGATGTGTTCCAAAACATGGTGTGTAAAAGCATATCTCATCAATAAATAGTATAAATAACAAACAAGTAGCAACAGGCCAATAGCCAACAACCAACAACAACAACATTAATCAATAATAGGTCAACAACCAGCAACAGGCCAACAGCCGGCTAGCAACCAATAACAAATAGAAATCAACAAAAAATAAATAACAATCAACCAACAATAACAATCAATAACAAACAACCAACAACAGACAAGCCATAACAGGCAACCAACAATACGCAACCAAAAAGAATTAACCAACAACAGACAACCAACAACAGGCAACCAACAATAGGCAACCAAAAACAAATAACAAACAACAACAAATAACACCAAAGACCAATAAATAGCAACAAACATCAACGAACTGCCAACGACTAGCCAATAATTGGACAACCGGAAAAAACATCAACATCCAACAACAGATCAGAAGGCAAAAACCATCCAACAACCAACAATTGACCAACACCCAATAGCAAACAAAGAATAGCA